GAAGAGGCGTGTTCGAGCTCATAATCCTGCCCCGCAAACCATGCAGGAGCTCAAAAATGTAATTTTGGAAGAATGAGAGGACATTCCTCAACATGTCATAACGACATTGATTAATTCTATGCCAAACCGTATGAGAGCTGTCATAAATGCACTGGGAGGCAATACAAGTTACTAAATAAACATTTATTTTCATGTAAAACATGTCTTTATTTAAAAATCGATTAGATTTTTTCCTTGATAAAAGCAAATATGGACTTGTTTCAACGTAACTCGACTTTTTTAATAAACTGTAGTTCAAATTTAGAACAGTGGCACTCTAAATGAATGATGAGTATACCAGCTCCAAAACTGCATCAAAACATTTTCCTTCTACCTACATCTTTTACAAGTTACAGTACTCCAAACCAATAAAATCACCAAGAATGAAAAATAATTTACAAAAATAATAGAGGAAAATGAAAACAATGATTAATTTATCCCAGTTTCATATAATATCAGCTTAATCCCTTGTAAGCTGCTAATACGTATCAACTACACCTTTTCCGGAACAATTGACGGCTTCCAATTTATCACCCAGTAACGGAGTACCAGGAATCGTACGTACGTACGTTTTCTAAGAACGCATTTCCCTAAAATAATGTTTGATAAAAATTATATATAAAGTTGGTACCTAGCGTACTCTTAAGTTTTTCTTTCAGGTACCTAGCACAGGTGCCAGTTTCCCACAATGTTACTCTAAATCAATTATGTGTTACTATTGTCAACTGTATATAACATTGTGTGAAAGAAGCAAATAAATATTATTATAATTATATGTATTTCACCACTAAATCGATCCTGTTTTCCTTCATAAGTGTAAACATACTTAAAGAAATATGTATGTGTAAGTAAGTATGAGCTTCAACCGATTTTGATTATCAAACATAATCAATGTTGCATAAAATGCGACGTAGTCATTGCTTCTTGTTAATACGGAACCTAAAAAGAATTGGTATAAATGATAAGTTATTTTTAACGGATTTTAAAATTTTATTTAAGAGATTTTTTAAACGAGAGCATTCTCTACAAAATATCAACAATGATCAAAATTTTAGAGAGGAATTTCGTAATCATTCAAAATCATCGATATTCAAACAAATCTGCGAACAAATACGACAAGAGCAGATAGATAGCAAATATTTTATCAGCTAAATATATCGCAATATGATTCGAAAAAGATGCTGTATTATTTCTAAACGTTGATTCCTTTAACATTAACATGATTGATTTCATTAATCGTAGCATAAAACAATATACTGCTCTGTATTAGGATTTCAAGAATTGAAAAAAAATAAGATAATAAGGAGATACTGATTTCCGTTGGTAGTTATCATCTCGTCTGACAACTTGCTGATTATACACAGAAGCTTAACCGGTTTATGTATTCCTGTTTTACCGAGAAACGATCGCCTGCAGAGCTCAAAGCAGATTGAAGCAAACGACTGCAGCTGACAGGATATTTGATACGCTGATCAAAGGTATGGGAACACTACTGCGTTAATATCTAGACTACTATTGAAATGCCTGGAAATGTAATTGACAATGACTTCCATGATGTCTACATTAAGTCGTGCACGTAGTCATGTTAGAGAATGACTTACATGTATTTTACATTTTGAAGTCTATGTATCCAACTAATATTATAAATATATCAATGACACCTGGATACAGACACGTGTTACTTTTAATGCGAAGAAATGACAGGTACCAGTGGGATTCAGAAAAAACTAAACGTTAACGCGAACGAAGTCGCGGTGGCTGCTAGTTCTACATATAGGTAAGGCATTGGCGATTAATAAAGAAATGTTATTAGCAAAGCTTTCCATGATGTGAGCAATAAATTCTATTTTAGTTGTGGTTTGCGTTTCTCATTTGGTTAGGTATATATAAGATTGCGCGGCCATTCGGAGACGGGTTCCGCGACCACACCCACCCTCTCGGCATGCACTAGGGGGACCGCGGTCCTCATAGTGCGTGTCGGGTGACGGTGCAGGAGTATTGTCTGGTTTTAGTGGCCCTGTTCAGGGCGTAGGTAGGGCCCTGTTCACATCAGCGAGCTCCAGGGCTGGCTGAAGAGGACAGGGAGGAGTCCCACATACCTTCTTCTCGCTCCCCCAGTGGTTGAAGGATGTGTAAGGCATTTTCCAGACACAAAAAAAAAGGTATATATAAGATAGGTATATTAAATAATTGAGGCACTTGTCGTGTCTATAGATAGATATACGGAGATATTTTAAGACTATTTATGGTAGACACATAATTTATAATTTCACCTCATTTATAAAATGTAGCACAAGACAAGTTTAAACTTTATTTCAGGCGCTCTTTACGTAAATTTTCACTGAAATTTTAACGTAGGTACTCTTTAACATCTTATTTGCATAAGGTTCTTGAGTATTTTCCAAATTTTAGGTTGAATGAAATTAATTGTCACTGGTTGGAGGTGAGTTTTTATTAAAACTTACGTTACTTAGAAAGTCTGAAGTTTTCCATTATGAGGAATTGCATATTTTAGTTTTTTAGAATGCCTTTTCTGACTTTACAATATATACATACATACATACATATATAAACGCATACAAATACATATATAAACAATATTTAAGTCTAATTCAGTCAGAGGAAATCAATAAAATGGAAGAGTTACAGAGACAGATAGTGATATCTGAGCAGGTTTTTGAAACTGTAAAGCAGTTCTGCACGTCTTATGGAAACTGGCAGAGAGTTCCATGAGCAAACAGCTTGTACTGCGAATAACCGGACATAAAAAGTTGTTTCATGCACAGTTGTAATAACAGTAAGATTTTCTGATGACTTTAGGGACAATGCGTTAGAAGTATGAAGACAGTTAAAACATTCCTTAAGGTAGCGCGGGATCAAGGGATTGAACAGTATGTTTTAGAGAAGAGTAAGGATGTGAGTATTCCGACGAGGACGAATAGGCAGCCACTTGAACTGTTAAAGAAATTGAGAAAGGCCAAATTTGCCCTAATTTATCAAGCTGGTCCTCCGTGAGATCTATATAGCAGACGTCAGCATAATCAAGAATAGGAAGCAAGAGTGTCTGAGTTAAAGCAATTTAGGTGGTGGTAGGTAGGAAATTACGCAGTCTCTTCAAAGAGGCATGGGAAGCAAACAATTTGCGACTAAGCACCTGCACCTAGGATCCCCAACTCATAAAACTATCGAAAGTAAAACCTAAGTTCTTCACTGAAGTGCTAATTGGAATAATGGTGCCACCAAGATGTATTTTGGAAAGTGATTGCCAGTCAACCCTAGCGATCATCTTCTCACTTCACATCTTCGAACTTCCAATGATAATTCTATCTGTTTTCGAAGGATTAACGTCCAACCTAAAACACTTACTCGTTATTAGTGGCTAACACTGCATCACCAACTTGACCGATAGGTGCTTGTTGATAAATTTGGAGATCATTTGCGTATAGGTGGTAGCAAGAAGAAATATTATTAGAGATAGAATTGATCAATACAGCGAAGAGTAAAGGAGATAAGACGCCGCCTTGAGGAACGCCAGCAGTCAATCGCCGATGGAGATACGTTAAGTGAGCGTAACAATGCCAAATAATTTCAAAGTTGACAGTATTAAATTCATTGCTGAAGTCCAATTGTGTTAATACCATAAGGAAACCGTGGTCCATTCCAAGACGTATGTCATCTGTGACTTTAAGTAAAGAAGTTGTAGTACTATATATACCCTGGAAGGAAACCTTTTTTATATTAAGTCATATCTTATTATTATTATTTAAGTTTTCATTTGTACCTTTGCTATTAAAATCTTATTTATATTGCTTTACAAAGCACGTTGATATCTGTACTTTGATATTACGCGTTGATTTTTTTTTGGTTTTTCCTAATATCATGGAACTTCATCGTTTTGGAAAAGTCAGTTTGACTTTTCGATGGCAATACAGTTTCACTTCATTCTCTCACTCATAAAATATATACACCCCCTTTTGATTTTAGCTGAGATATGCACCGTATACAATGTTACATATTTACAATGTTTTTGAAAATACATAATAAAATGTAGAACTGTGATACAAATAAGTACTTATATACCTGCTGAGTGTAAGATTAATACATTTTTTTGGAAGACCAAAATTTACCTTAGTTGATATATCCAAAAGGGCAAACTTTGGATAACTTAACAAGAAATCATTTCAAATCATAAAGGTATTAATTACCTTATATAAAATACAGTTACACACAATAGTGAGGACCTAATTATATCGTCTCTTTGTTAATAAGGATAATAATTGTACTGATTTAATTTGGGGATATGAATTAATTGGTGACTGCTTATTATTTAATTATAGATGATGATTTTATTGTTGTTTAGCCTTGAAAATTTTACTTTTAATTCTGATTCTTCTCTTACTCAGGTAAATTCTTCCAGCAACAATCCTAAGCCTAATACTAAAAAAGCCAGTTTAATATCGAAATAGAGAAAAAGTAAGCTCCAACTATGAACCGGTCAACCCTCTATGTCTTTCTTATGTAATACCTTCTTACCTTCCAAGAAACCCTCTTAGGTAAGAAACCTTCTTACCTTCCAAGAAACCCTCTTAGGTAAGAAAGCATCTTCTTCTTATATCAGCTTGATACAACTTTCGGATATTTTCATTAGGTGTTGTTATCTAAATATAATCAGAGTATAAATATTGTTAAATTAAATGCGTATTTAATTAAATGTCTCTTTATAAATTCAAAGGAAAAGCACGCATTCTTTTTGTAGGTTTAATTAAGTTTTGAACTTTATCAAAATAAAAAAAAAGCTTCGAAAAAGTTTCTAAAAAAGGCGAAAAACAAAACCTTCTAACACAAGAGAAGGCTGGTAAACATGCCGCCAGTCAATTGTTTATATTGTTCAACAGTCCCAGACGGCTCCGTTTGCAGAGCACTTACGCTAGCTTACACTTATATAATAATGCAATACATACTTTATGTACACACAACAGGTGTCAAATTGCGTAATGATGACCTTGGTCGGTAGGGAGGGGTGGTAGAAATACGAACTCACTCGCGGTAGGTATAGCTGGAGTTGTTGAGTCGGCAACGGACGCGACGCCAACCCCAAGACTCCCGGTGTACACTGAGCTGCGATGTCGGTCGGTAGTACACGGGGCTGCCAGCCGCAAATGCACAGTTTCCCACAGCGGGAAAATAAATCATATTAAGTAGGTTTTTTCTTCAATAAATCTAACCAAATACGGCGTTTGGTAAACAAATATTCGTATTTTTTTCCATAGAGTTAAGTACGGCGGTAAACATAATGTGCTATAAACAATCGAAACTTAAATAAACTCTATAAAATATTTTTTTCTAGTAAACTTTTCTTTAGATCTATAAAATAATTTTAAGTTACACATGAAAGAATTCATTTATTAAGCAAAATTGACAAAACTGGTATATTATGCTGAGGTAGAAAATAATAGTATCTGCATTTAAATAATATACCAATTATCTACAATAGTAGATAGTAACACTTAAAATAAATAAACGAATAAGTAACACCGTCACTAATCTGACCTGCTACAGAAGTAGACCAGAAATTAGATTGTAAGCCAAGGTAACGACTAAAGTCTAAGGAATATAGAAATAATATAATTATGATATTATGAATCGTTGGGAAACAGAACCCTTAGATATTGACTAATGCCGCCGACATATTTAGTATGTGTGATGCTTCGGAAACCGCCTCGTACAAAATACTATTTGCTTATAATAAAAAGTATTTTAATGGTGACACCATTCCAACAAGTTCCAAATCTCCCCATTATTGGGTAAATTTACTAGAGCTGGTATCATTCGCTGTGGATGATCACTCTTCCCAACCAGTATGGCGCCCGAGGCACCCCATACGATGACCCTCCACCGAGTGGCTTGTTCCTGACAACGAAATCGGGTCGTTCTCTCTCCAGTGCCGTCTTTTATATTTAACGTCCCAACTCCTTCACGCCGGCCAGCAATGGTTAGTGTAAAATATGCTTGACCAGTGTTATTACCATTCCATGGTTTCCGTGTAGCAACACCTCGAAAACGATTAAATAATTGCAGATTCGCGGTTGCGCTGCGGCTCTGCCGTGAGTTTCCGACGAAATTGGGGCATTCAGACGGAACTTTCTTGATTACATTGAACCTAATGGATAAATAATACGGTCGTTTTCTGCAAGGGTTCCCAAACGCTCCCTCTTTCAATATTTTATTATTTGTAAGCCGGTGAATTAGCACATTGAGGTTTTAATTTTTAATGTAGCGATCGTTTTAAGTTTTCTGGGCCGCGTTATTGGGTTCAAAGGAAGATGTGGGCACAATTAATAGTTAGAAGGGATCGGAAGCTTTCAACAGCTTTTCTAAGAAAACTGAATTTTTCTCGGTAAGAAAAAGAGGATTTCGATTTGAACCAACATTCGTCGTTATTTCGAGTTTAAGTTCTTTATTTTCAGTATATTATAACAAGAAAAATACGGTTTTAAATCCCAGGACCATCGTTTTATGAAGACAGGGGATTACAAACCGTTGTATAAAAGTGCAAACTTTATAAATTATGAAATTATAGTATACTAATTATAGCATACTAAAAAGGGTTTCTTGATATAATAATCATGCCAACAGTGTTTCTATAATAGAGTCACTTTCAATCTTAGTCAACTTGCTCAACCTATTACCATTTTATCATCATCATCAGCCTGTTAATGTCCCTACTGCAGGGGCACAGGCTTTCCCTATTATGGAATGGGAGACTGGGCCGTGACCCACCACGCGGGCCCAGTGCTGATTGGTGGGTGCTAAAGACTGTAGATGCAGCCGGGACTAGCGGGTTAACATGCCTTCCGAGGAAGGAGGAGCTCGAGATAATAAATTTTTGGTCACTCATCCAATGACCGACCATTGCAAAAGTTACTTAACTTTCACGATCATAGGTCGAATGCGGTAACCACCGACGTTATCGAACTCCTCCTCCCACAGCTACTATTGACAAGTTGTTAATAGAACAGCAATAAAATTTATAAACTGTCGTGAAATGTGTGCATGACGTGTTTTCTTATTTTTTTTTATCAGATTTGATTGAAAAATAAATAACATAAATTCGAGTAACGTCTTCTAGTACCTATAGATTATAATGTTATTAAATTTAAATTTTCAAGTTTGTTTACAGGTTCATAAGGGAACATGGATTTCTGTAAAAGAAATCATCCATATATAATTTATTACTTTGGGGCATATATGTATAGCAATGCTATATGCTCGGGCGTCAAAAAACGCCACATCTTGTTTAGGACTCCGATTTTCCGTGAGGTCGTTTTTACTACGCTTTCGATGTAATATAAATCACGGCGAATTTCGTTGAATAGGGGAACGATACCTTCGACAACACAGTGAATACTGGACTGGACTTGCAGACTGCGGACATGCCAGGGAGGCGGCCTCCCTGACATGCCTGCAGTCTGCAAGGAGGCCATACCTAAGATAGACCCACGGCTAGCAAGTAAGTTTTGCAAGGTAGTTGTTCGGATCAGAGCGATCCCTTTTTTGGACACCGGTTGCATGTTGGCATCTCTTCAAGTCTCCAACACACGCCCCAAAGAATACGAGAGTTCGTACAAGCGCATGAGCACGGGAGACCACTCTGCTGCACGTTTTTTTAATAAAACTGCTGGGATGCCATCAGATCCACTAGCTTTCCGGACGTCGAGTGATTGAAATTTAGCGCGAACCTCACACTGCCTAATTTTAATATCAGGCATTGTTGTACCTCAATGAGGTAATTAATGATGGTGGCAGTGCATTTCAATCATCGATTCAGGATTTATCCGCAAAGAGTTTTGCCAGTAAATGGGATGGCTTTTTCCTGCGGCTTATGAACTAGTGTACCGTCTGGACATCTCAGAGGTGGCAGCGAGAGCTAGCAGAAGTTGTTCTGCAAGGCCTTGGTCAAACGTCAAGCTACGGGAGCTCGTAAGATGCATTCTAACTTCATGACCAACACGTGCAACGCGTTGGGCATCCGCTTTGATGTATGCCTTCCAACAGGCTTTGGAAGCAAAATTGTGGGCTGCTTTTAGTGAATCGACCTCGGAATCCTTAAGAGCGCGGCCTCTGATCTAAGTACGATATGCCGCTTGCTTACGCGAAACAGCTTCGTGCTGATGCGAGTGAACAAGTGGTTACTTGTGCCGCTACTGATGAGATAAGAATGTGGAATATTGTATTCCATACCCATTACAAACTCCTCAGTAATAGAAACGGCGCTAGCCGAAAGGTCCCTGTCACTAAAGCAGCGCTGCTTCCAAGGGACGGACGCAAAATAGTCACACATACCGGCCCAATCTGCCGACCCATAGTGCCAGATCCGACGTTTGACCACCGCTGGACGCGAGTCTTGGCCTGTGGCACTTTGACAGATATCAGGCAGTGGTCCGACGGACCCAGTGGGGCTCTTACCACAACTATTATCTTATGTCAGCTATTATTATGTGACAATTATATTGCATAAAATTAAATCAAGTTTTTATTATTATTTATATCAACGCAATGCAATGTGAGTTGCCATTCTAGATTTTAAAAGTTTTCGAAAATATCTATATCATAATCGCTTATGGATTTTTGCTTGCTGTTGTATTATTCTAAATAACATCACTTGCACTTACTCACACTCATACACACACACACACACAAAGTGGTCATGTAGTCAGTTAAATAATGTTAATATCTTTGTTATGAACTAATGCTGTTACCTGTTCTGCTTTTCCCTATCCAATAACAACCTAGTACTGTATCATCCTAAGGAAGTTATATTCATAGCCTATCTATTATATAAGTCAGTTATGCTTTTTATTATATCACTATTGCCCTAAGCTATTGCCTTATGTAAAAACAATAAAATAAATTCAATTACTTTTGTCACATCTGAAACAGCTGTATTTTGTACTTAATAAAATTTGTATTTTCCGTTTCGGGAAAGTTCGCATATTCGCTGACGCATCTAACATTTTCTTTCCTTCCTCTCCAGTATTAAGTATTAATCTTTGACTTTTGTCTTCAAATAATAATTGCGAAAATTTTAAACTTTTTTGATGAATTAAGAGATTTCTGGGAAACGTTTCAATGATGGAAAATAGCCGTCCACTCTGGTAATTAATTTGAGAATCCCCTTTTCTGATCGTATACTGAATTTGCGTGGCCAATTGAAATCCATCGCATCATTTTAATTCTGTTCCGGTAAAAAAAAATAAGAAACTGGGCATTTCCGTTTCACGTCTTTTACCAAATTTAATAGAATTTTCCTTTTTCTGTAATTCGTGTCATGGTTTCGTCTACAAAATTGTGTTATCTGTATTATAACGTTGTTTTTTGTAAGAAACATTATGCATGTTTATTTTGTAAGAGAGATAAATGATAAAGACAGTGTAACAAAGAATGGTGCATTTTAACTTTAAACTCTGTGAATGAGTAGGGGAAAATTACGAAATAAGATTTTAGGCAATAAATTATTATTGCGCCTTATTACTTTTTTTGCATTCAACAAGATGACAACATTCATTTAACTGCTGATAAATATTGAGTTATTGAGGTTATATAGGTGTAATCTCTTCTGAAGTGAGGTTTTACATGGCGTAAGAAGTTTTTAGACAGGCCATACACGGACTGCTTGAGCAGTAAGCCAGTGATCAGCACACGGACCGCTCTTGCAGTTAGAGTCAACAATTTGAGCTGCCATTTCACCGCGTTGCCAGCCGCCTGAAGCAACTGCTCGAGCGGTTCCATTTTGTATGTATGTGTATGAGTGTAGAAGACTGTAATTCACTACGCCATTGCAGCTCGAAGCAGTACATCCTGATTGCTTCAAGCGGTTCATGTATGGCCGGTCTTAAGCGTTTTATTGGGATTATCAAAACAAGTGTTTTAACTACAATAAAAAAGCTATACACACAGTGCAATTTAAACAGATTCCAATGTTTTAGGATACATTTCTCGAGAAGTAAGAGTTAAAATAAAGTATTTCTCATGTTTTTCCACATGAGTGTAATATTTGCATGAAATTCAGCACATCTCCGCAGTGAACACGGATTTGAGT